GGTCCCAGGCACCTGCTCACTGGTCCCACCGCCCTGCCTCCCTAGCAACAGGGTCCCTGTCCCTTTAAGGCTTCCAAAAAGCACTCGCCAAAAAAAAAAAACCACTCCAGTTTCTTTCCACCCGCCGGGAGCTGGGGGGAGGGGCGCTCGGGTCCCGCCAGGCCGGGGCTTGTATCTTACCCCCTTCACTAGGCGCTGGGTTCTTGCAGGTGTGGATGTGGTCTGGATGTTGTCCTGTGTCCTCTGGTCTATATTTTAGGAAGAGTTTTCTTTGTTATATTTTCATAGCTATGTGTTTTTGGGAGGAGATTTCCACTGCTCTACTCACGCCGCCATCCTGGCTCCGCCCCCCCTCTGCCCATTTTTTAATTGGCTTATTTGCTTTTTGTTTGTTGCAGTGCATGAGCTCTTTGTATAATTTGGATGTCAACCGCTTATCAGATATGTCATTTATGAATATATTCTCCCATACTGTAGGATATTCTATACTCTTATGTGTTTCCCTTGACTGCTTTAGTTGATGTGTGATTTTATTTTTTGCCTTATTTAGTATTTGGTTGTTCCGGTTTCTTTGCTGTGATTTTATTTTCTCTGGTGATATCTGGAAGCCTTAGGAGTACTTCCATTTAGACCAGTCCCTTTAATATACCTTGTAGAGGTGGTTTGTGGGAGGTAAATTCACTCAGCTTTTGCTTATCTCAAAATTGTTTAATCCCTCCTTCAAATTTAAATTATAATCTTGCTGTATACAGTATTCTTGGTTCAAGGCCCATGACGTGTCTGTGTAATGATGCCGCAACTACAGACAAGGAAGGGCTGCCTCCTCTAGAGGGGAGACCAGTCAGATGCCTGTATGTTCGCTCTCCTTGTGGAGAATTTGGTCAGCCTTGACTAAGGTGCACCCGTATAAGTCCTGGGCCAGGTCAGCTGAAGCTGAGTCACTGTTATGTTGTGGCGGCCGACCGTGAATGCGGATGAGGGTCCACTCAGATTCCGTAGCGCAGTCCGTGGAATCACAGATTCAGTGCAGACTGAATGGCTTCAGCCGCTCTGCACACCCACTCACACACTCAGACCAAGAGTTTAAACATTCCCCTCTTCCCCCCCGGGGAATGTGTACCTGTGAGACTTCTAAGAAGTCTCTGGGAGGTGATCAGGCTCCCCTTCCACCCCAACGGGTGTGAACTGGCTGGGTCAGGGGCTCCAGGGCCTTACCAGATTCGATGTTGGAACAAGGTCCTCTCTTGCCAAGCCTTCTTCTGTCTGGCAGGAACAGTGGAGTGGAGCCAGCCTGGGATGACCGGGAGGGAGACTACAGAAATATCAGGCAGGATGCACCTTTTCTGTTGTGATCTTCTGTTCCATCACCACCCCACCGTTGCCCTGAACTGGTGGTAAAAATGGGCCAGCGCATTTGGTTTCCCAGTCAGGGAACCAAATGTTAAGGAAAATACTGGAAAACCTGGACTGGTTACGGAGCCAAGAACCAAGCAGCACTCAGAGGTCTTCAAATGTTGAGGTTTTTTTTACACCGGTGGGCTCAGTGGGGAGTAATCTCTCAAGGTCTGAGCCCTGAGTACAGGCAAGGGAAGCAATTTATATTATTTGATATGTGGCATTTTGGCATGTGCAGGGCAAAAGAGCAGCCCAGAGAAGGAGGGGAGGAGAGCGCTGGGCATGCTCTGGTGACTTTTCTAACCGGAGGGAAAAAGCTGTTTACTGACCTTGAGTGCTGTGTTGAATATTTCCCTCATCACTCCCTCAAACATCAGCTGGAGTGTAGACTGCCACAAATTTAGGAAGGAATGCTCACTTTCTTGCCTATGCAGTTGTCTTTCATTTAAGAGGGCCATTATTTTGAAGAGTTACAGTAATGGACTCTTCGTTTCTCAGATGTGTGCTGCAGGCCGGGGTGCTGTACTCCCGGCATGTTTGGCTTACATGCACCTCACATTCAAACCCCGGGGTGAGGAGCCCCTTAGGTTTTGGCTGTGACTAACCTGTAGCCTGAGCTCTGCCACCGAGCCGCCACGGGCCAGGAGCAGGGTCCCACCCCTCTGGCTCCCCGCCACGCCGCTTATAGTCTGCAGGCCGAGCTCTTCCCAAAGCCCCTTCTCCCAGCGACCCGGGACTGTGCCTGAGACCTCAGAGGAGCACCGCCTCGGGCAGTAGCGCCCCGCCCCTCAACAGAGCCCCGACCCTGCAATCTGGGCTTCGGGACTGCCCCGCCCCGCGGGCCGCCTGAGAGGTGAGGGGGCGGGACCCTGCGCAATGACGTACGCGGGCGTGCGCAGTGACGGCCTGCGTCCCTGTTACTCAGCGGAGCGGCCGAGTCCGGGCGACGCGGCCCGCATCGCGAATCCGCGAGCTGCGCTGGCTAACGGCCGGTGCGGCCGCCCGGTCGTCGTCAGTTCCCGCAGCGGGCTTTTCTGTCGCCGTTCCCTGCTCTGACGGGTGAGTGCAGTGAGCGCAGCACGGCCGGGGAGGCCTGCGGCCCCGCAGTGTTTATGTTATTGTGCTGCCGCCGCCGCCTTCTCAGCCGTGACCCCCTCCGGGGAAAGGGGGCGGGAGCGCACGGCGGCGGGGGGCGCGCGGCGGGTGGGCGCGGCGCGGGAACAATAGCGACCTGGGCGGCGGAGGCCGGAGAGGGGGCGTGGGGCTGCGGGACCCAGGCGCGCCCCAGCCTCCTGCCCGTCCTGGCTCCTCGGCTTTGCGCCGCCCGTCTGTCCTCGCGCGCCCTTCTCGCTCGGGTCCCGTGTCCACGTCGAGAGAGGAAAATGGAGCAGGGGCTGGGTGGCAAGTTGTGAAATATTTCGGCGGAGCTCCGGACGCAGGCGGCTGGGAGGCACGCCGCACCTTGGCTGCACCTCCGGCGGTGAGGAGCCGCGGAGAGCGCTCTTGTCGCCGGCTCCCGACGTCTGCCCGGCGCCCACGGGGACCATGTTTTGTTTCTCGGTGGTTTCTTTGTGCCGAGGTTCTAAGCGGCGCTGTGAAAAGCTGGGGTGGCCTTCACCTCTGAGCTGCTAGGGAGAGCCGGACCCGTGACTTGGGCGGGAGATGTCCGTCAGGCTCGGCGCGAGCTTCAGTGGTCAGCCGGCATTTCTCTGGAGGGTCGTTTAGTCGTGACCTTCTGACTTTTTCACCCCACCCTCTATCTCTTTGTCTTGCCCTTGTGTTCCCAATCCTTAGGTGGTAGAGCCAAGTCCATTTTAAAGTATTGCGATGAACACTTTTAATTTTGATTTCTGAAAGTTCCCCATCAGATGTTTACTGTGGACTCAGTAGTATGATGACTGCGTGGTATCAGTGTTCAGTGGTTACTATTTTTACCTGTGAAATTCAGTAATCTTTTCAGTGGAATTCTTGTTTGTCAGTCCATTGTGTTTAGAGATAAGCATACACCAAGTACCTCCTTGGCAATTAGAACATCTGTGTTTATTTCGTTCATTCAGCAATTGTTCAGTACTGTACGCAGTGAGAGTTTGAAGGTGAAGAGAAATGCCTTTTAATGCAAGAGGATGCTTAGACTGAAATATACACCTTTTAAGGAGACAGTTATAATTGTGTGTTAAAGAAGGTATACTCTAAGCTATTTTACTATTTTTTCGAAGTACCTGTGGAACTTGTTATATTAGGAAGTAGAGTTAACATTTGGTCAAAAAGTACAATAGATTTTATTATTTCCTCATTTAATTTTTAGTCTTAACAGCCTTACAGTCTTAAAGTCATTTGTAATGTTTACCTTAGATTCTCCTGCTGTACGTTAAACCTAGGAGGTCAGATGCTGTAAATGATCATGTTTAGTGCTGTGCCTGAAAAAAGCAGTCAATCAAATGGGACTTCCTTGAGGACAGGCTGTCTTGCAGCTATGCCTCCAGCACCTAGCCTGAAATATAGTAAGTGTTCAATAGAAGTCAGATTGCTGAAAAGCTCTTAAAATTAATAATATTTAAATTCAAGCCTTAAAAAGAGTTTGGTGTTCTCTGTGAAGTTTTGGAAGCCTCATGCAAACTGTCACTTCCACATGGCTTAAAGTGATCACTCCATATATATTACCTGTCAGACAGCAAGGGCTTTTGAATCACTTGAGTATCAGTTTGGTTTTGTCACTTCTGAACCATTCACTATCCTAAAATAAAACCTTGTCTGTAAATTGTTTTTTTATATTTAACAGACACACAATGATATTTCAAAAGGGGTCTAAAGTGATTGCATTTGTCCTCTCTGAATATTATTTGAAAAGTTTCGGATGACCCTAAGTGGAAAAGCTAGAACAAAGGAAACAAGCTGCATCAGATTTTTATTAGAAATGTTTAATTTTCAATAACATTTTAGAAATATTTGCTAGAAATATTTTCTTTAAAATTCTTTGTACTAATACTACTGGTGAAACATATGGGCCCAAAACTAAAATAATACTGATTTATCCAAGTTTCATCTTTTTCCACTCACTAAACAATTTTAGTATTTGTGCTGGATATGAAAAAATTTGAGGTGAGCTTATTATTATATGATACAGAGTACGAATAAAGAAGAAAACGGTATTTTATTAAGATAAGGGATAAAAATCTTGATATACCAAATCTTTTATTGCTTTGCCTAATTAAGGCATGTCAAATTCCAATAATGATTACAGATACAAATCCTTTGGCAGTAGTAGCTCATTGTCAGGTAACATGTCAAACCAGAGTTTTTTTGTTTTTTTTCCAAATTGTTTGGCTTTCTAAATTTGTTGGTTTTTTAAAAATAACAGCTTTATGGAGATATAATTCACATACCATAAAATTTATCCTTCCTGAGTGTGTGTAAGTGGTTTTTCAAATATTTACAGTCATGCATTGATCACTATTATCTAATTACAGAAATTTTCATCTCCCCAAGAAGATACCCCATAGTCATTAGCAGTAACTCCCATTCCAGTCTAAATTTTGTTTTAAGAAATAGATAGCACTAATTTGGTTAAGTACATTTTATTAATGAGGTTGAAAAGGGGCTCCTTTCATGTGTCCTGACGAGCAGGAAGCTATTTTTTATGCTCCTTTAGATCTTGGGAGAAAGGCCATTTGGAAAGGAAATTAGCTTGAGAATAAATTCTACAAAAATTAAAGAGGTTAGCGTCTTAACTATTTTCTCAGTACCTAATATTATGGAAATGACCTTATGAAGTTACTCAAAGCTCAGTGAAACAACTTAAAGGTAATTTGTTGTTAAATAACTAGTCATAAACTATCCTAGTGGTAATTAAGAGGTTGTTGAATAGAGGCCTGATTCTTGTTAGTCTACTTTACCAGTGAGTTTTGACATTTTGAGTCATCTGGATAGTTGAGATGCTTTGTTGCACATGCGGAAGTATAAAGTAATGGCTGGCACTAAGATGCCAGCTCTCCAGAGGTCTCTGGTCAGGTCAATGTATGGGTAGGTAGTAGCCTTTCTGATTCATGTAGTGCAAGGAAGTCATTAGAGCCTCATAGCTTTGGGTATAAATCATTGGCCTATTCCAGTGAACTGTGGTGCTTATTGTCTTAGTCATAAGCTCTTTAGATTTGTCTTCTTGCTCTAATGCAGACAAACTTGACCTTTGATTCAGAAATGAGTTCTGAGTCAACAGACCTGACTACCTAAAAGGTGATAGGAATATTGAAATAACATCTGTCCTATCATTCAGGGCAATAGGTGAAACTAGACCTGTCCAGGAATCAGACCTATGTTCATTTCTCAGTATTATCATCTGGACTTTGTCATCAGCAAACCTTAGAACCTTAAACAAGTTGTTTAACCTTTTTGTATTTAGAACTGTAAACTGAGACTGCTGGCATGCCTTTCTTTTTCCCCAATAGAAAGGCTTTTCCATAGGTAGGTAGTTCTTCAGAAAACATAGTGGGACAAAAAGATCTTTGGGTGATAATCAGAATCCCATGTCAGAACAGCAATGAAAGACTTGTAATTTTCAGAAGCAGAGAAAATTGTTTAGTCAGATATTTTCTGTAGTATTCATACTTATAAAACAAAGAAAAACGTCCACCATAAGCTAGGACTTCTCTGAATGATAGATTTTTATTCATTCCATAGCACCATTCTTACAAGACCCATGCTGTCAGTGACTAAGTGGAAGATGTAAAAATGAAGAGTTTGTTAGTCTGTGGAAGCTTATGTTCAGGGATGGGACTTAAAGCAAATCTAAAAATAAATTAATGTTCTTTTAAAAGATTTGTGGGAGTGCTTCCCCCAAACAAGTCTGCCCCAAATCTCTTGGCAAGCCAAATTTCTTCAGATCCAGTTTTTAAAATTATAGGTGAGTACATGTATATGGCCTTTTAGAAAACTTATTAACTGCCATTCTTTTTCAAGGTGGTGGGACCATTCTTATTCAAGGTAGTAGGGTATATCACAAATACAGCACATACATGTCATGTCTTCTGTTACACTCTTTAGTAGTACGACAGACTTGGTTAAAATCTAACAATTGTTTAGAAAGTTAAGGAGTCCAGACTTAATAGTGTTTGCTAGCCTGGGCTTAAGGGTCAAGCCCTGAGTTGTGATCCGTGCCCCAAATCTAATTATATGGCCCAGCCTAGTTCAGGTTATGTAATACCTTTCATCATCTGTCAAATGAGAAGAATAATAGCACATTCTCATAGGGCTGTGAGGTATAAATAAGGAATGCACTGCATGTAAAGTGCCTGCCTGGCACTAGTACATTGCCTGGAACACTAGATGTAAGCATTCAGGAAATTACAGGTATTGTTATCACTTATTATTTTTAACTTGGAACAAATGCAAAATGACAAGTAAATTTAAGACCAGTTTGATGTGCTGTGTACATTTGAATTCTTTGGAATATGTCAGTTATTTCCCTCTGCATCTCTGGAGGGTTTATTTAAATTTCACCATCTCATCTAATCTGAATTGACTGAAATTATTCAGCATTTGGACCAGTATAATCCTTTCCTCAAATTTTAAAATGTTTGAAAAGCAAATATTCAAGGGAAATTATTTGCTACATTCTCTGATACAAAGTTGTTTTGCCATGTTTACCTTTCCCACTGCAGAGAACTATGTAGACTTGCCTAGGTTGATTTTGACTAGATTTAGATTTAGATTTCTAAAGGACTGGGAATTCAGGAGCTGGGAATAGCTTTATCATGTACCCATATTTGAAGAAAACAGAATGCTTCCATTTTTAATCTTATTGGAGTCTTTGATACTATGTGAAGTTGAGAGTGTGGTAGAGATTAGTCTAAATTAAATCATAAGAAAAGCTAACCTCATGATCATCTCATCCATTTGAGAACACGACAAGGTTGCAGAAGAAGTACCCTTGAATAACATGGGTTTGAACTGCACAGGTCCACTTACATGTGAGTTTTTTTCAATAAATACTGTAAAGTACTACAAATGTATTTTCTTTATGATTTTATTTTTTTCTTTAGCTTTATTATAATAATCAATATATA